CACTTATGGTCGAAGCTATGCTTCATGGACAACAATTGTGATTGCTGAGAGTTTAGAGTAAGGAAAAATAGCTTTTTTAAGCTTGTTCGAAGTTTAAGTATTAGGTTGACAAGCTATAAACGATCGTTTTAAGCAACAACCTGTTTATTTTATAGAACGCAAAAAAAAACATTAATCTAAAAGGTATTCTCCATTATTATCGATGACTTCTTGCCATCTTTGACGCAATTCCTTGATACCATTCTCAAAAAAACTGAGCGTCCTTCTGACTGAGTAGAAACTGAGTAGAAATCAAGTGCGTTTTTGACTTGTGCATGATCATCAAAAAGTTTTCCATAGAGGAATTGCTTTAACGATCGAATGGTAATCTGAGGGTGCTAGGCCGGGTGAATAAAGCGCATATGGTAGAAGTTTCCAGCCAAGCTCGTCGAGTTTTTTGTGAGTGACTTTGGCTGTGCGCGGTTTTGTGTTGTCTTGCAAAAAATGGACCTTCGACGGATTGATGCCCAATTTCTTAAATGAGTCACTAACTTTCATTAACTGTTTTGAGTAGAGATCAGCATCGATGTTATGCATAGGATTCACCAACTCATAGAACACCAAACCTCTGGAATTCCACCAGCACCTGCTCTTAGCTTAAGCACTTTACAAGATTGAATATTAGGTTGGCAAGTTATAAACGATCGTTTTAGGTAAAAATTTGTTTATTTCATAGAACGCAAAAAAAAACATTAATCCAAAAGGTATTCTCCATTATTATCGATGCCTTCTTGCCATCTTTGGCGCAATTCCTTGATACCATTCTCAAAAAAACTGAGCGTCCTTCTTGCAAAGTAGAAATCAAGTGCGTTTTTGACTTGTGCATGAGCATCGAAAAGTTTTCCATAGAGGAATAGCTTTAACTATCGAATGGTAATCTGAGGGTGCTAGGTCGGGTGAATAAGGCGCAGATGGTAGAAGTTTCCAGCTAAGCTTTCCTTTTTTGTGAGTGACTTTTGCTGTGTGCGAGTTTGCGTTGTCTTGCAAAAAATGAACCTTCGACGGGTTGATGCCCAATTTCTTCAATGAGCAATGAGCAATTTAATTCAAAATAATCTTCAACTCATCCCCGCGAAAAAAAATCATTGAACAAAACAAGCGATCGTTTATAACTTGCCAACCTAATACTTAAAGTTTAATTCTGTCTTTCAGTATTGAAGATTTCGAACAAGCAGAAATTTATGAGACTTTAATGAACTCGGCTGGGATACTCATTCTTGGGATTGGCACCTCCAAAAATGAAGAGAATTATGCTAAGATTAACGAAACTTGGAATGAGTTTAAGGTTTGATCTTTGTTGGAATTAATCCAGGCGTCTTTAGCTTGTTGATGGACTTTCGTTGAACCCCGAAAATAGCGACTCAGACTGTGTGACAATCGCCAACTACCTCTGCGAGATGGCCTGTGCGCACTCACCAAAGGAAAACCCAAGTAAATTTAACATTAAAATGAAGTTACACTTGATTGTAACCTCTTACGGTACAAGTTGACCTAGTTGCAACAACTCTTGCCGCAACAACGATTGGCCCAATTCTTCCACCCACCGTTCAGCCAGGCATTCTCCCTCAAGGACCTATCACTCCGGAGACTTGGCCCTACATCACTATTGTGTTAGGTTGGTTTTTGAAAAGGCAATTTAGCAAAGCGTATCTCAATAGATACATCCGCTGAACTGAACAGTAGCACTGCTTTGAATGATGAAGGATTCGAAGTGGTGAGTAGAAGAGCCGATTTCTGATTACTGATATCTGATTTCTGATTACTGATTACTGATTTCTGATTTCTGATATCTGATTACTGATTTCTGATTACTGATTTCTGATTTAGCTCCGAATATTCCTGGTCAACACTTTAATCAAGTATCAAATTGGGGTCGATTATACGCTTGTTTCTCTTGTGACTTTTGATACACAATCAAAGGTGAATTGGTTTTTGAGAAAGTGAATCTTTTAGCTTCCCAGGTTGAGTTCCACTTCAATAGTCACCCCGATTGGCCGTCATTGTACAAAGCGTTGACTGTAGATTGGCAATATGGTCCAGAGGATAATCATGGGAAGATGAAAAACATTGATGAGTTGGTTTTACTTGAATTACAGCTAAAAAAAGGGCTTTTTCCAAAAGCCATTTAGCGCTATGGATCTCGTTCTGTCTGATGTATATCAAGCGATAAATGGGGCTAAAAGTGACGGCAATATTGTGTGGATTTTCACGACTGGACCGTTAGAAAACGAATCTCAAATCTAATCCACTGATGTTTAGTGAAAATATAAACCTCACTTCAAGATATCACAATGCAATGAGTGTTTTGGGTCAAGGAAATGTGAAAGTGAAAGTGATTGGGCTGGGAAATATTACGGATGATTTCATGACGAATATTGCGACTGATTATACAATTGTCAATGAGTACACTGATCCGTTGAATGGAATGGCCTCTGCGACGGAGCCGATTGGACCGGTTCTCTATCAAGAATCGACACAAAGTGGGTGATGGTTGATGAGAGGACTATTGTCTTTGGATGAGAGGGTTATTGTCTTTGCTAGCTAATATGACTCATGGTAGACTGGAATCTGAGTACTATGCTAGACTAGTAGACTTCTACAGGGTCCGAGAAAAGTATTGTCGTTTTTCCAACCATCATATCTTTTTTCAATTCGCAGTTTGATGAGCTTCCGGATGTTTGGCGTGTTTACCGATCGAGGTCTTCCTTTTTTCGCTTCTCCTTGACGTGTCCTTTCTCTTGCAATTGTTTGGCAAGTCGTTGAACAGTCCTGATGTTGGTTTTGAGCTTTCGCGAGATGGCCGCCTTCGACCCTTCGGCTTTCAAAAGCATATCATCGCTTCTCGCTGCATATCATCGCTTCATCGCTCATCGCTTCTCGATGAGGGCAAGCTTGCATTTCTAAAAATACACATTGAATGCTATGCACCATTCTAAAGAGGAAAAAAAACTGAACAAAATTCATGTTTTACACAACGTAAAAGGATGCTTTAAATCGCATAAAAGTTAGTTCAAAGAGACGCGACAATATTTTTCTCGGACCCTGTACACCAAGGATTTCGGTCTTGCTCATTAGCATGGGTTTAACTGATGCTTCAGATGGCCCACCAACAATTCCAACAATGAAAGCCGACATGTTATTGGCAATCGATCAAGAAATGCTACCAACTTTATTTGACTCTCTCCAAAATTTCTTGCAAAAGTTTATAGCGGTAATTGTTTATTCTCTAATTGATCCCTTGACCTTTAGCCTTTCACTATTGGTCCTGACAAATGTCGTTTCGCAATTGTGCTCTTTAATTCACAAAGCATTCAGCAATTCTATCAATTCACCGATGGACAAGACGCTGATGTATTACTTTTCAGAGTTTATACTTTCCAATTTTTATTGGGTTGGTGAATTGAAAACTCAGGGACTTTGAACTAAAATTTATTCAATATAAAAGAGCGGCACTCTAACGCAGAGCATTCGGCACTGAAACGCATAAACTTCTTTTGGTGCAAATCGGGCTTGGGGTCACTTTCGGGTTTCTCGCCTGGCCCCACCCATTGCCGCTTCCACCGAAAGTTCACAGATAAAACCCATTTCTCATCTCCTGTCACAATTCGATGAAGAAAGGATTTCCTTTCGTATCGTGAGAGATGAGCGGCACTGATGGAGGCGCGCTGCCACTCCTGGGGATCATGGGGCACCCAAGTCCCAAGTTTCGATTTAAATCCAAGTGTATGAAGGTGCCTTAGCACTGTAGCATGATCAACCCCTAACTCTTCTCCAAATTCACGCGATGATACCCGATGTCGTTGGTAATGAGTTCGAGTAATTTGGAATCATCCAGTTGGGGTGCCGCTCCACGGCCCTCTGCATCTTTCAAAGATTTGTCCCCAGATCGAAACTTGGCAAACCATACTCGACACGTTCTTTCGGAAGGTGAATTTCCCCTCATATATCTTTTTAATATTAGCAGCTGCCAAGTCTGCACTGTGCTCTTGTAGGAACTCATGAAGCATGACATGACGAATATGTCCCGGTGGCAGATTGTCGGGTGCAATAGAAGAAGTAAAGAAAAATACCAAAAAATAAATAGCTGGAAGTATAATTTTTTCGCAATAATTTGAGGAAATGTGGAAGTAACCAAACCCCCTTTCAGCTGGTTCAATGCTGTTGTTTTTTTTTTATCTGCGAGTCCCGCGGAATAGTCGCCAGTTTTCAATTCACCAATCCAATAGTAGACCTTTCTAATGGAGCAATATATAGCAATGTATCTGTTACGTCCGAATCCGATCAGGCGTCCGAATCCGATCAGGCGTCCGGATCCGGCTGTTGATTATCTTGTGGACGTCCTAATCCGACCACAATCCGATAAATGCCAATTGATCCCGCTTGATTCATCGAATTTTTTTATAATTTTTCAACTATGATGGTTTCACCATAGCCTCAGTCATCTTAACAAATGTAGAATAGAATTAAGATTTTAAGACGAAATTTTACGGTATATATGAAGTAACCAAACCCCCTTTCAGCTGGTTCAATGCTGTTGTCTTTTTATCTGCGAGTCCCGCGAAATAGCCGGCAGTTTTCAATTCACCAACCCAATAATTAATACCATCCTTACTGTCTCTAGGAATTGATTCCAGAAGGATAAACAAAGAAATTTAGACCGTTTTGGATAAAATTAAAGCGTTGACACCAATCAACAGCGCTAGAAGCGTTCAAACAGCCGACTACCTCACGTGAGTACTAATCGAGTCTTGCTTAAATATTCTGCTTTTTGATAAAAGATCAAGTTTCCAGAGCTCTGAACTTTATCAACAACAACATATCATTATCATCAAATGGTAAACGTAGTTCATCACCGAGTTTTGCGACCTTCTTCACCGCCAGCATTGACAAGTTGATAGATTTTAACGTTAAATCATGGGTTATCATGGGTTTTTAGTAGCTACACCATTTCGGACGTTGTGATGAATAAAACAAAAGGTTTCTATGTGACGCAAGTGTTATGCCTAGCCAATGGTGCTATTCCCACATTCGCAAAGAAACTGGCTTCTGCGGTTGGTTCACAAAGAAAAACCTTACGACTAAACCGTTTTCTAAAACTTGTCAACTTTTGAAAGCTATCATAACACTTTTAAGCTTATAGTTAGCTTTTTAATCTATCTGTTTTTAATCTTTAACCATCTTTAATCTTTTAATCATCTACATCAACTTTCCTTGAGAGTGCTAACTCTCAAAATTGAGTCTACCAAGGGAAGTACCCCAGCTCCTCACCGCTGATTGCCAGACCAGTACTTGTATACAAAGCGAGCCATACATTCTACTTGTACTTGTATACAAAGCGAGCCATACATAGCGAGCTTTCCACGGTTCAAGTCCTCGCCGCGCAAACTTTTTTGCTTTTTTTGATCTGAACGAAACTAATACGAATATTTTGTTAGATAAAAGTTGGGTTTTCAGAATTTCAGAATCAATAACTGTTAACTGAACTTATTTTCGATTATCTTCTTTGCTAATTTTCTTTATTTATTGAAATATAGAAAGGGGAATGAAAAGAAACAAAATACATTCGTTTCGTTAAAATCAAAAAAGCAAAGAAAGTTACTATGCGAAGACTCGAAAGGGGTACAGCAAAGCAAAGCTCGCTTTGTACACAAGCACACACAAGCACAAGCGTTATCCACTAGACCACCAGCTCACAATGACACCGACCGAGAAAAGCCTTTTAGCCAAGGTTTTGAAAACTTTTATACCAAATATAGCTAATTTTCTAAATTTTTCGGCATTTTGATCAGCTTAGTCGGTTCTAGAATTTCTTGGGCTTCTAGCGATCAACGTTGGCGAGTTGGGGTACTTCTCTTATCGGCTGGGGTACTTCTCTTATTGACGAGCTGGGGTACTTCTCTTATTGACGAGCTGGGGTACTTCTCTTTCTGAAATATGTAAGAGCTGAGGCTAGATTACGGTAATTTTCAAAAGTTGACGCTTAAGAAAAGCTATGAGGCCTCTTTATTTAGGAGGGATATGCTTACAGCATTGGTGACCAGCTCTTGGTCTGGTCAACCTCAGCCACCGGCAAAAAGTCACCCATGCAATCGTTTTTCACTAATCTTCAACTTGGTAAGCTTTCAAGGAGTACTCTGACAGAAAATTTCAGAAAACCAAATTGCTGTCAAAGATGAGACAATCGCAACAACGGATGTGAAAGCCGATATCATTTTTGTGCTCGATTTAGCGAACTTGAATGACAACGCCAACTTCAACTTGGTAAATAGGAATGAACCGGTCATTCCCAATTTTTCAGATGATTCAATACTTCAACGATTTTACCGCGAAGTTCACAATTGGGCAATTCAACGCTCAATTTGCTGGCATGTCGTTTGGAAGTCAGATACAAGATCAGTTCACGTTGTTGACATGCGGAAAGAATCTCACTCTGGGATGCATAGAAAATGAGTTAAGCAAATGGAAATCTTCAGCTGCAAACGATTCTGGTTATCTTGTACAGTAAGTTTAGCCATTTAACTTGTACTTGTATTGTTCAGAGCACTGAAATCATTGAACGATGATCAACTGATGTCTGCAAGTGGCTGGAGACAATCGAAGACTTATATTCTGATATTTTCAGCTCAAGCACAGTGAGTAGATCTAGCAAAAAGCTTAGAATTGTTTGCAAGTTCAATAGTTTAACCATTCTTTAACTAACTAACTAACTAATTCACTAATTAACTAACTAACTAACTAACTAACTAGATAATTCGCTAGCCAACTGCCTAATTAACTAACCAACTCTATAACTAATTAACCAACCAACTAACTAACTAGCTAATTCACTAATTAACTAACTAACTAACTAGCTAACCAACTAGCTAACCAACTGTCTAACTAACTAACTAACTAAATAGCTAACTAATTCAGTCCCACCTGGAACATGGATGAGCTAAACGAAGCTTGTCTGCTTCTCCACAACAAAAACGGATTTATTTACTATCTCGACATGGCAAATGGAGTTATGCCAGCTGATATGAAGAAATATTTTGATGGAAACTTCTCAATCAGTGGCCCGAGTCACTTAAAACTTAATTCAACAGCTGATCAAGATTTAGTCCTCGCTGTCACATCAAGTTGATAAATAGAGTATTCTTTTCAAGTTTCTTTTAGGTTACCATGCCTTCCAATATCCAATACCAATGAATTTGTCAAATGTCATTGCTGATTTTGTTTTTATAGTCGATCTTTCGGATCCTGGAATTTGGACAGAGGTGAGATCTTCAGTTTCATGAAAATCTCATCTTTCTTTGAGGTCCAAGCAGTACTCTCAAATCTTATCATTGGAATGAATATCAGCGCCTATAACTCTCAGGTTAACCTCATTTCATAACAAAATGACAAGAATTACAATTTATAGATGTCTTTGATCACATATAATGAAAATGGAGTTATATCAGACTCGACTTTTGTTTTGAATCAATATCTAAATGTTGTTGATTTAAATAAAACCATTTCGAACATCAATCAATCAACCTCCACGTCAACCACTGATTTTGGAAAAGCTTTGACTTATCTGGAAGATCGAATCTTTAGCAATCCATTCAGTGGCTATCGCCAGACAATCACTTTCCTCACTTTCATCAACACAAATCCAAGGTACTTTGAGGAGCCAAAAAAATCATCAAACAGCTTTAAGCCTCACACAACCTTTGACAAGTTTTGTGAATATATTCACCAAACTGCAATTATATCCATTTTTGTATTTCTATGGATTCAATATGGCTCAAACAGATCCGAATACTGTGGATGAAGTTTTGTTAGCGGTATCTTTTATACTTTGGCTGTTCTAAAGGGTATTTCTAGTCGGACTAGGCTAGTACTGGCCCTAACCAGTGCTAGCCTAGCCCCACTGGCCTGGCTTGGAATCTAGCCTTGACTTAGTCTGGAGCCTGGTCCAGGCCAGGATCTTGATTAAGCCTGGACCTGGGCTTAAGCCTGAACTTCTCCCGGACTTGGACCTGGTCTAGGCCTGCCTAGGATCTGTCCTTGATCTGGCTGGGTTTGGGTTTGGATTAGCCTGGGTTTGGATCTGGTCTTGACCAGGATCTCATCTTACTTCTGGTCTGGAAAAGGCCCGATCTGGATTACAAGAATCCTGCCTAGCCCTTCTCCAATCCGACCCTTTAGGTTTTCCCTCCAACAAGAACAACGTACATCATCCAAACACTTGCATTGATCCCCGATACTTCAGTGGTCAACAAATTTTTTAGCTACATCACTGACAGTTCAGATCTAGTTTTCAAACATTTTATATGTTTATTCAGCATATACGCTTTTCGTCACTCAACCAACGACCACAATGGAGACAAAGATCACCACCACTAGTAAGAGAGTAAAGAACTGTCCCTACATGAGACTACAACAGACGACTAGCAAAGAACTGCCCAGACTATATCAGACTACTGGCAAAGAGCTGTCCCGACACCAAACTTTTTCACACTTCAAATTTTAGGTTACACTTGTCCTGGATGCAACCCGCCAGCCTCAAGCATTATCCTACTGATAGCAAAGAGCTATAGCAACCGTATGTGACTCTAGCTGCAACAGTTTTTTTGATTTTTCTTTCAGCTTTTTACACAAGCTCATGGTGGCTCAATCAAACCGTCTCGATGATCACTCAATTGAGTGAAAACTGGAGTAATTTTGACCGAATGTCAATCCTCTCGTTTGATAGTGATGTCTACGTGGAAAAAGGTCTTCACAATATGAATAACTTCTCAGAGTTCTCGAATGTACTTCGCAATATTCAGTCGAACAATGGAACATTGGATTTGGCCAAGTGAGTTGAACTCAGTATGATAAAGGTTTAAGATGCTGTGGAGTAACAAGTAATACATTAACACAAATGCTGAATATCTTTTATTAGCTTAGTAAATATGAAAGGTTATTTTTCTGATCATTTTTAACATAACAGAAAAATGTATTTAAACACTTTCAAAATCAAATGTATTCACCACAAGCATTAATAAATTCTTTCCAACGTTTTTCAATCACGAATGCCGTCTTCGTAAAATTAAAGATTTTTAGAGGCAAAATAGCTGGCAACCCAATTTTCGATGTCCTGCTTTTGCTTGAAATGCTTCCCAGAAACTGCTTGTTTCATAGACCGAAAGAGGTGGTAATCCGATCGGGCTAGATCAGGGCTGTATGGTGGGTGAGAAAGAAGTTTCCATCCCAACTTATCGATCTGTTCGTGGGCGACCTTTGAAATGTGCGGCCTAGCATTGTCGTGAAGAAATCTGACCTTGATGGATCAATCCGCTTTTCCCTCAGCGCCCGATCGACTCGACCCAGTTGTTCTGCATAAAGTCTTCCATTAACAGTCTCGCCTTTATCTAATATTTCAAAATAAACCAATCCCTTAGTATTCCACCACACACAGAGCATAACTTTCTTCCCGTGTATCGGAGGCTTCGGGATTGGATGAAGGGTCTGCTTCGAATTTAGCCAATGTCCATGGAGCTGAATGTTTTCATACGAAAGCCAAATCTCATCAGATGTTAAAAAATACTTCCAAAAGTCACGATGGTGAGCTTTGCGTAGAAGAAAAGAGCTTAGGGTGACTCGTATGGCTTTTTGGGCATCAGTGAGGTAGTGGGGGAGCTATTTCCCGCTTCGATATGATTTCCCAAGAACGTGTAAATGTTTTTCAATGGTAACATGAGTGCATCCAAACTTTTCTGCTAATTTTCTACACTTTTGCGATGGATCCAAGTCGACCTTGTTCAGTAACAGCTGATCGTCCAAAGTAATCGGTGGCTTTCCATGTGGTGCATCTTCCAATGACTCGTTTCCCGTTTGGATGCGATCGTACCAAACACAACATTGCTTGTAAGTAAGAGCAGCTTCTCCAAAAACAGTACAAATGTTCTGATGGCATTCCGTAGCTTTCTTGTTTAACTTGAATTCAAAGAATATGGCAGCCCTGATTTTAAATTTTTAGTCACCCATCTTTGTCGAGCTGAAACAATACAAATATTATTCAAAACAAAAACGTTTTTGCAAAAAAAGACATAAGCACATTCTGACATATTAACGAGAAAAATCCTAGACAGCGAATGTTCTTGGTAACGACAGGGCAATATTTTTTGTAAAAAATAACCTTTCATATTTACCAAGCCAATAAATAAATTTGAAAATAGAAAGAATTCCTATTCAAAGTTATCGACAGCATTTCAGAGCTTTACAAATGATTGATGAGACTTTTAAACCGTATGCTGGTATGCCGCAAAACGTTGTGCTCTTCATGGGTGATGGTGTGAATGACACCATGGCCAAAGCAATTCCTTATGCCCAAAATCTGATGGCAAAAGGAACTGTTTTAGCTGTTTCGATAAGTCGGAATCATACAAAACTTCAAAATCACATTCAAAATTTAGATGGAACTTTATACACGCAAGTCGCCTCCAACAACTCGGCAATCTCTTGCTTTACCTACAGTTACATTCCCACAGCATATGGCTGCGCTATGGAAATTGATAGACTTTTGGGTATGGATTGGGAATACTCGTTGATTGGAAAATTTACCATAGGTGCTATTGTGCCGACTACAACAACAACGACAACAACGACAACAACCACACAATCAACAACGACTACAACTAAGATTCCTATGACCTCTGACTATGAACTTTCTACAGAACCTAATATGACAACTCCAAATGGAACACCCTCAAGTACTCCACAGATTTGTCGGGCATTTAAACCAAAGATAAAATCGGCAACCATGTTGCCAGACAAAACCGAGCAGCCTTTGAATTTCAATACTATTTCAAGTAGCACAAGCGACTATAAACTTCTAGTACTAGTAGGGGGAGCAAAGAACTTTCCTTACAGGGGTGAAGCATATATAGTGTTGCGCTCAACAAAAGTATGATTTTCTCAAAAACCAAGAGTTGACGGCCCGTTTTTGCTATCCAAGAATACCTTGCGTTTGGAATAATGGAGCTCAAAAAGCATTACTTTTATAGTAATTAACTCTAAAAATGTATTAATGCAGAAAAAGACGGAAAAAGACGATTTTTAGAGAAACCAAACCCGAATTTAACTGTTTTTCAGCATCGTTGTGCTTTGGTTTTTTTATTTAAGACTTAACAGCTTTAGTGCTTGCCAAGTAAAGGAAATAAGCTCGGCTATAGATAAAATCTAGAATTCTTGATTTTCGTTAGTTATCCAATACTTAGCCAAGTTAAACTTATCCCTGATTTCAGCTGTGACCCCGACTGGATCGACCACAAGGGGAGGAACTCCAACTGACACCACATTGAACACCACAACAACGACGACCACAACAACGACGAACACAACAACGACGCCCACAACAACGACGAACACAACAACGACGAACACAACAACGATGAACACAACAACGACGAACACAACAACGACGACCACAATATCGACGACCACAACGGAAGCAACCCCGACTGACACCACATTGAACACCACAACAACGACTACCACAACGGGAGCAACTTCAACTGACACCACATTGAACACCACCACAACGGGAGCAACTTCAACTGACACCACATTGAACACCGCAACAACGACGACCACAACTCCTAACACCGGACCGCCTATTGTACGTTGTTTTACGCACATTTGTTTATATATGTTACGTCCGATTTTGAAACCTTTTTAACAGAATAATGTTTTTGCATTAGAATCACTAAATTATTGAACAAATTTTAGTTTTTGCACAAGTTCCTTTAAAAATGAAAAAAGATGCATTGCTTTTGTAATGTTTTTGATAAACTATTGTTTAAAATTTGATTAATAAATAATAAGGGCGTAATTTCGATAGTTTTAAGAAAAACCTTTCTTTGAAGATAAAAGTTTTCAGAATTGGACTTAAGATTTATATTTTTAGTCAACAACCACTGACATGAACACAACAACTTCGGACTCGTTGGCGGGAAGAAATGTGGGTTTGAAATCGAGTTGTGCTTCGGGGTTGACTCAATAATTGAAAGTTCCAAACAAAAAATTTTCTTGGGTAACTGAAAAATAGTAGCTAAGATCTCAGTTAACGGCCAAAAGTTTGATTGTTAAGGTTTAAAGTTCCATTCTCCAGGTGGACATCGTTCTCCTCCTTGACACCTCATCCACCGCTGAGCCGTACTTCGGTGACGTAAGTGTTTAGCTGATATATAAAAGAATTGATTCTAAAAATGTTCTAATATCAATTTTAGATTAATTTTGATATAAGGCGATACCGAATGCAAGGAAATTTTCAGTACATCACATTCGTGAAAACGTTCTTCACGGCGTTCACGGTGAGCCAAGCGAGAACGAGGATTGGAATTGTGGCCGTTCCCGGAGATGAGCTTGCAACGTTCCCCCTTGCTGTACTTGGACAAATTGGTAATACGGTGAGATTAGCTGAGCTAACTATGGTAAAAATTAATCCAGAATAAGATACTGAAAGTGGACTAAATTCAAAACAATCCATAGCTTTCAGACTCAACTCTTCGCAATTCTTGACAACATCAAGAACCACTTCACCGATTTCTCTGATCAAGGCCAATATGCTGGAAAGTGGGTTTCCAATTTTCAACTAAGAAATTCTTTGTTTAGAGCCCTTGATTTTGTCCGTCAATTCTATATGTCACCGGGGAATAGTTACCGACCAGAGATAAACAACCATTGGATCATCTATTTGACATCGGCGGTCAAGTAGAAGAAAAACAGTAATTATTTACATAAATTGTTTAGCATTACCGACTTGGATGATGCTATCACTAATGCGAACTTCTTAAAGTCTGGCAAGTACTACTCGATTGCTGGAATCGCTTATGGAACTGGAGTTATGGACAAACTGACGCTTGAGGTGAGCTGGACTAGTTGATCAATTTTTCGGATAGTAGTTGTCTAGTACTTTTAAATCAAAAGCGTAAACCCACCCTTTCTGGCGCACTCACTTTTCATCCCCAGGTTCAGGCTAGAAAAAATATACTAGAAAGAGTGTGTTTGGGTTTTGAGTACAGTCCGGTCTTCTTTTTTTCGATCACTCCCTAGACCCCGTCTTTTATTCGAGGTCTTCTATTTTTTGCATTCAAGAAAATTCTCAGGAAAGTAACCAACATTTAGAAAAACAGCTTTCTTTATAAAAATTTATTGTAACATGTTAACGACAAAATTTATCAACAACAATCTGCAACAAAAATAATTCCGAAAAAGGAAACAAGAAAGGAATAAATCACGTGAATTTTAAGTTACATAATCATCCTTTATCACTACTTAATTCGTAGTCGTTCTCAAGCAAAGCTGAATCATCTAGAACACCTTCAAACGCCTCCAAGCTCTAGAAATCGAAACGTTTTCGCTCTCATAACCATTGTTTTTATCCACATCAGAGTCGACTTCATACCAGAGTTTTGCTAGTTTTTCCTCTAATCGCGCAATATCCAGCTTGCAATGACCATTTTCAACAGCTTCTCCTTTACGAAAACAAACAGTTTGATCAACTTTTATGCCATCCAATGCATTTGATATTCCGAATTTTTAAAACATTTGTCGATTAGCTTGTTTGGTAGGCTTTCCCAAGCGGTTATAATGCATTGAAGAAACTGATCTATTTCTGTTGGTTGAGGGTTTTGCCTTTCGTAAAAGTCCTAGTTCCATTTGATAGCCAATCAGTGTAGAACTCGTCAAATTTCTTTTTGAAGCGTTAACACATCAGAAAAAAACGCGAAATGGAATAAAACTACACTTTTGAGCTTACTTTCCTGATTTCGGATACGGTATTTTCAACGCAAAATAGAAATAAGTGATACCTCGAATAAAAGACCGGTCTTAGATTTGAGGCAGTCTTAGATTTGAGGCGGTCTTAGATTTGAGGTGGTCTTCTATTTGAGGCGGACTTCTATTTGAAGCGGACTTCTATTTGAGGCGGACCTCTATTTGAGGCGGTCTTCTATTTGAGGCGGTCTTAGATTTGCGGCAGTCTTCTATTTTTTCGATCACTCCCTGAATCCCGTCTTCTATTCGAGTCGCTCTTTTACTCGAGACCGGTCTTCTATTCGTTTGTTTTGTTTTTAAAAAGTTTCTTTTAAATTTATCTCCATCACTTTCAGCAAATCACCGGCGGCACATCGTGCTCATTCTCCACCGATAACCAAAACAACTTGATGACCACAATCGCGCGAAATATTCAACAACAAATTTTCGACAATGATGGCACTTTTTGCATGGCATCGCCGTAAATCCTTTTCTTTTCAAATGCAATAAATTTTATTAAACTCTTATCAAAAAATCTCCTCCACCTGATCTATAAATCCTTAGTATGGCAAGAAAATGTGGAAAAAAGTGAATTTCAGGGGAAAATCGATTAAAAAGAAATAGTAAAGTAAAAAAAACCCACTTTGGAGCTGTAACAATGAGAAGCATCACAAATGGAATTAAAATGAGAAAAGTCTCAGAAAAACAAGCATTGAGTGATTGGTTTGAGTTAAAGTAGTTAAATTAGTTAGTTAATTCCATAGACTTTTGCCAACTTAAAATAAAAAGTTTAACCTTCATGGTTTCTTGAACCTGAACCTTCATGGTTTCTTGAACCTGGTAACCTGAACTCCAGCAGGGCCATCCAGCAGTTAACCTCCGGCGTTAGTCAATTAAGAAGGCAAATTTACTTTTTCTTACCCTAAAACAGATTCGAATCGTTTGAATGTATCGAAAAAGAGAGACAAAACAAAAACCAGCAAAAGTTTTGTGTGTATTCAAAAATCGAAATCGAAATCCATTTCTTCCACGTCTAAATTTTTCGAATTGCATTGCGAAACTTCAATTTTTTTCATAAATGATTCCAAATTTGGCTTTTTGTAATTTTTGATTACAGAAAACTTTCAGCTTGGAAAGAGTTCAATCAAAATGATGAAACTGTTGGTGATCGTCTTGCTCCAATTGATCAGCCCCTTGTCAAGTGTTGTGTCACCCGTGGCACCCGTTGCACCCGTCAAGTCATCATCCATCATCCATCAGAAAGTTTCACCCGTTCAATTGTCCAATGTCAATCTCCAATGGCCACAAGATCGCCCGGAAGAGGTTTGAAATTTTAATAAAGCCTTTATCCTTGATTTCAAGGCATAAATCAAAGTAAAACTCTAGATAATCCGTAAATTATTTATTTTATTCACTCGCCACTTATCCAAGCGTATTGCAATCAGACACAATTGAAATTACACATTTTCTTTAGAATCAGAGTGTTATGATGACAGTTTTAAGCTTTTTCTTGTTAAATTCATTCAGTTTTAGACGTTTTCATTACTAAAACCTGTTCAGATTCTCCCCAGCGACGATCTAGTCAACTTCGGGTTTTTCTTCGTGCAGATCACTCAATATTTGCGCAAGTCGAACTGCTGGAGCTCGTGTCAAAACTTTCTCACGATGGGTAAGCAGTGGAGAGTTAAGTTTTCCAGATAAATCAATTGCAGATTCAACTCAAATCATCCGCAACAAGCCATGTCTCTGCAAGCGTGTCAACGACCAATCAGATGTCGATCTCTCCGCTTATTTCTATGCAATGGGAGGTGCCATGTTGCCCGGCCACCGAAATTGGACTCGTCAAGATCAGCAGTAAATAAATCTTGAACTCAAGACAAACAAGAAAATTTATATCAGATTTCATGATTTTATTCATCATAGCTAGGTTTGTGAAGAAATAGCTTTATTTTACATAAAGTTAAAGCTTTGGAAAGGTGGGAATTCCGCAGTTTTTGCGTGCTATTTAGTTGATTCGGGGAATGATCGAGACAGGAAATAGAAGAAAAGAATAACAATGGAATTTTAAGCCACAGTAAATGACCTTTTCTTTTGTCCACTTTAGATTCACATCCATTTCCTGACGCGGTCGTTCGCTGAATTGAAAAATTCCCAAGGAAAAGTCATGCTTAAATTTGATCTAATTTCTAGAAAACATAATGTTTTTGGGATAAAACTCTTTTAGAAAATTTTTATTAAAAAAACTGGACGAACTAAGAATTAGATTTCTAGACCTGAAAAACGGTAAGAGCTATCGATAAACGGCTTTCAAATTTACAATCAGCATCACTGAATTACTAAAAAACGTTTTTGAATGTGATATCAACTGTTTAAAAAGTTACTTTCTTACTTTTCCAAGGTTCAAAAACTATGTCCATTTGAAAAATGGGTTTTTGAGGGAAAGTTGGTTTTTTTCCCGGACTGCGCCGCAAAATGAGCCGAATTCCTGGACTGCGCACCCAAATGTGCCGAATTCCTGGACTGCGCACCCAAATGTGCCGAATTCCTGGACTGCGCACCCAAATGTGCCGAATTCCTGGACTGCGCACCCAAATGTGCCGTATTCCTGGACTAGGCACCCAAATGTGCCGAATTCCTGGACTGCGCACCAAAATGTTTCCGAATTCCCGAACTGCGCACCATGATGTGCCGAATTCCCGGACTGGGCATCAAAATGTGCAGAGAGGGTACCGATGGGGCAATGATTATTTAGATATTTATTCCGAATCTAGCACAATCGCGAGAAAAAACAATAAATAGAATCAATCGTTGGTTCAGTGTTTCAAAGCCAAACGAGAAAGAATACGAGAGGGCTCCGTTCCTTTTTATCATAGACGATCTTTAGAGGATCTTTAGAGGAAGGGCAAGAGAATCAGAGATACCGTATTTTCTCTAATAGTAGTGCATCCTGAGCGTCGCCTAAATTGCTCGAAATCCCGAGAACCGCTTATCAGAACCTATCGATGTGGGGTCGGAAAATGTAGCTGACGATGAGATCTAGTGGGGGATTGAGTATTGAGCTTCTGCAAAAGCTTGGAAACCGTAAAATCGTCACCAACTCGGCTCACCGCGGTGCACTACTATTAAAGAAAATACGGTATTCAAAATCAAAGCATCAAATAAGATTTCACAGAAAAGAGCGACTTTTGTGCACAAATAAAATAAAAGTTTACCGTTTTTATTTGTTAAATATAAATATAAATTGTTTAAGAAAAGCGGTTTATACATTCATTTTTATCATTTATTTTTGAAAAGCTCCAAAAATTGATCTGTTTTTAAAATTATAAAGTGTAGAAGTTACGGCTAATTCTATTGGGTTGGGGAGAATGAGTCGAAAATGAAAAAAATGTCTAAAACTTCTATTCGACTTCGTCAAATAATATGCGTTTGATATGAGTAGAATGGTTAACTAATTCTCTACAAAATGACATTTAAAAGAAAATTCAAACAGCGCCTCCGCTCAAGAAAAAGCCATTTTTTCACAAAAACTACAAACTGTGATCTAGAAAAAACCATTGGTGGGATCTTTCTGCAAATTTGGCAACTTAAGTAATTGAATGTGCTCTATCTTTTTTATATAAACACCAAAGAAGGTTTATGTGAAAGAAACTGTTCAAATGATGAGTCGGACTCTTTGCCATTTTAACCAGCTGCGTTTGGAAGTTCATAAACTCCACGAAAGAAAAGCTTTGTGGAATCTCTCAAAAGTGATTTTGTAGAGAAATAGTGGATCCTTTTGATGAAACCAAACGTATGTTTAAAGAAGGCTTTATGTGTGCAAAAGTCCCTTTAAAGTTCATTCTCCCCAACCCAATATCATTTATTTTTGAAAAACTCCAAAAATTGACCTGTTTTTAAAATTATAAAGTGTAGAAGTTACGGCTAATTCTACAAAAATTCACCACTTATGTGCAGTTGATTTTGTCCTGAAACGATTTTGGGTTATGTAGCTACCGGACGATGATTGTTGTACCAGTCATCGTTATTGAATTGGCCTATATATTAAAGCTATTCTATTAAATAATTAAGCTAATTAAAGCTAAATAATTTAAAAACTCTATTAAGTTCGATTAAAGCTCTATTTTTATGAGAAAAGCTGAGATTGAACCTCAATAAAAGAAACTAATCCAATGAAAATGAGAAAAGTAAGCAATTTTGACACATACTGCTTTAATAACCTGTTTTCTGTTCTAGAATGAAACGTTTCTTGCTAAGCCAGCCGCTTTGTCAGTTTTTGTGTGTAAACTATAGCTTGTTTGTACTATTGTTTTAATGAAGAATAAATGAAGAATCTCCTTAAGAAATCGAAATACTCTGGTGAGCTTAGGCTCAGCTGTTCAAATGTTAAAGCCAGAAGCATTTATCTCTCAACATCATCATTGTATGGAATGACCATGAGGGTTCTTCGTCGTCGATTGCTTTGTTTCTTATAGAACAGAACTCCAGCAAGAACAGCGACAAGAATCAGGCAAACAATCAAAATCGGCAGCACATTAAATCGTTTTTGGTGAACTAAATACAAAAATTTAACGAGTGAAACTGACGAACTTGGCCAGAATTTGATTTTGTATCCTCGAAAAGTGTCCGTTCCGTCGGTGCGAAACATAATATGAAACGTTGAAGTACTTGTGTTCTTTTGTCCAGCATGGCGTATTCTATGAACAAATTTTTGTGACCTAATCTCTTTTCTCTTACTCTTGAACATCTATATCCTCTTCTAAATTGCTAATAAACAGCAAATCGCTGTCTTCCATCTCGAATTCGATCACTTCGTACTGAAGAGTCACATCTAGTGGCCCATCGACAAAATATTGGCAAATCATCTTGTTACAATATCTAGAAAACCTATACAATCTCGTTTGCTTGAGCCCAGTCTGAATTTTCAATATTAGTAATTGTATTCGATTACTCCTAGATGAATGGAGCACTTTTGGATAATCTAAGTCTACTCAAACTCACAGACACTTTATCACTTCGAGAAATATTGCGTAAGTTTTATTACATCTGTCAATCCATTGAGAAATTGTATAACCAAAAAGTTGCGATACTTAAATGAAGAAACGTGGGTTGTCCAGAAATGGGTGAGTCTAGTTCGATCCAGAAATTGGAGTCCAACCTTCCATCACAAAGTGGGATCGACAGTGCTTTTCCTGGTTCCTGGGGGAGTCTCTTTGTGATAAATGTCACCAACTCAATGGAAAAGTATAGCCTAAATCCTAAACAAAGCTCGAACCACCGTAGACAAACTTTCAGTAAGCAAAAGTTATTCAGTTATAAAAACAGCGGCGTAAACTGTGAAGCAATTCATTTTCTCATTTGCTTACACTCTGTCGTCCCAATTGCTAGTCTGTAAAGTAATCTTAAATCATTGTACATTGTTTTCTGTTCGCTCCATTTCATTGTTTTCATCTATGGTTTAACTACCAAGGTTTGAGGTTCGATAAATGAGTGATTCAATTTGGGAGCTTTCAACTACACACCATATTTGATTCTAGCCAGCCATTGTCTTAAGCCAGACATTGCCTTAAACCAGACATTGCCTTAAGTCAGACATTGCCTCTAACGCACACAAGATTTTCTCGTCGCAACACTCTTCCACTACCAGGCTTATAACAAACGTGAGCTGCCGTTTGAATGTCCGGATAGAGTGAGGTGGAGAATTCGAAAACCGATTGGCGCCCTTGCGCCCGTTTGCCCATGCGCCCATTTGCCCATGCGCCCTTGCGCCCGTTTGCCAGACGATGATTTCATTTGACTGACTTGACTGATGCGGAAGGAAATCTAGTGTTCTGCAATCTTTTGCAAAATGAATGATTTTTCTAGCTACAAAACATTAGAAAATTTACTCAAGCACAGTTTTTATTTGCTTTGACCATATCCTAACATAACAGGGAAAAGGCGGATCGCAGTTTTATAAAAAAAACACTAAAGGATTGAGGGCCAAATTCTTTCCCAAAAATTTTGCATAATGACGATATTAATTTACAAAAAGAAGCTATTAAGGCTGTGAATTTGTACCTGAAGGTTTTTGGGGGAATCAATTGGAGATTTTTATTTTATTAAGTCTAACAATTGGACTCACAGAACTCACATTTTGTCCTACTTGCCTTTGAGGGAAATTTGGTGAGACGAGAAAGATCGGTTCATCTTCAATTGTATGATCTCTTTGACCACATTCACAATCTAAAGCGTTTGGAGACTGATAATAATTAGTTTCTTTTCACTTTTTTTCTCTGCCCAATCGATGGTGAGATTCATCTCGATATTCAAATTCTTAAATGGCACGGGTTTAGTAGTGAATAGCACATAAATGTACTGTGTTTGACTGAAAAGAAATTCTTTTACGAACCAAAAATTCTCTTTACTTTACATATTCCAGGAAATCATCAGAGCTGAACTCATAACGAGACTCAAACTGATCATCTAGAGATCTAAAATTGAAATTTTAATGAAAGAATAAAACTCCAAACATTTCCACATGGTCATCGAGCAATATAGCAAGTGTCCAATGTCCTTGTAAATGATGTGGTTCTTTCAATATAGTGAGTGATTTTTGAGGATCATTCTTAATCTTTTATCCAACAATTCAACAGCTCGCAACTCTCAGAGATGTTGAATTGAATGCGCTGTGATGTATTGAGTGGCTGATTAAAGATGAGAAATTGCTCGGATTCGGGAAAACATTTGCATTCTAAAGCCAAAGAATTAGATAGAATCGATGCTTCAAAATGTGTACCTTTTGGATAAGACATGAGACGAAACTCAAAAACCTCCATCGCTTTATAGTGTACACTGAAAACGGGTGGTAAAACGCGCGGCGTCTCATCTGCTTGTCTGGTGCTAAAGGAAAAGATCACTCTTTTTCTAAAGACAATTTTTCCAGGAATCAGATTAGAAGCCAAACCTTGCCTTGGCCGGGCTTTAGTGTTCTTTAGTGATCCAATTAGACATCGGCGCTACAAACTACAAGCTCCGACTACAAACCTTTGTAGAAACGGGTAGAATAGAGATTTTTCAAACTTTTTTTTACCAAAAAATTGAGCGGATATTAGGCTTTTGAATGACACCAAAAGCACGAAAATCCATCATCTCTGCTCCGAGAACGAGCTATTTATAGCCATTTGTAGTCTCGTACGATGGGACGAGACTACAAACCTGGAAAAAAACGTTAAATCTCAGCACAGAGACCAGCACAGAGATCTCAGCACAGAGATCAGCACAGAAATCAGCACAGAGGTCTCAGCACAGAGATTTGGCTTGATTTTCGTGTCATTCGAAAGTCGAAAGTTGGCTTGTTGTTTTGATGAAAAAGTTTTGAAAAATCTCTATTCTACGTGTCTACAAGGGATTTGTCTGATCTTGTAGTTTGTAGCGCCAATGTCTAGTTCCAACCCGAATACCTAATGTCCTGAGTTTGTATCACGATTGAAAAAGTTGTGAGATTGATGTGAACCACCGGCAGAGACACTGGTAAAGGCTAGAATGTAAAGATGTTTAACGGTAATTTAAAAAAAATGCGACTTATCATTGAGAATTTCTGTTAAAATTTCCACCTGAAGATTTCCTTAACCAAAAACTTCTTTTTAGTAGACAAATGTTTAAATTTTTTGCTGAAGCTTAAAGTTTGTCAAAATCTTTAGTGAGAGAAGAGATAAGTGCGGTTAAAGAAGATTTATCGTTAGGCTTAACGGTAATTGTCGAGAGGTCACCTTTGCCTGCATTCAGTTTTTGGTTAAGGAAATCTTAAGGGTTGGTGAATTGCTACCTGAAGCTACCCTAGGCTACCGTATTTTGATCAAATTATTGGGTTGGTGAATTGAAAACTGCGGGTTATTGTCATATGTGACAGTTTGAGCACTTTCTTCAAAAGAAACCCATTTTGGTGTCAATGGAAAAGTTGTAGAGAATCAAAAATCAAGCTTATATCCAAATTTTCAGAACGATTCAAAAACTGGTTTTCAAGAAATGAGAAATTTACGAATTTTCACAAAACTTGCATTTTAAGCGAAACTACTAAGTGTATCTTTTTTGGAAATTTGGCTATAAGCCTAATTTTTGATTCTCTACAACTTTTCTATTGACACCAAAATGGGTTTCTTTTTGAAGAAAGTGCTCAAACTAGGACATCACCAGTCCTTCATTTTTGAGTCTCACACTTGTCTCACACACAAACCAAAATCCTACTACGAAAGAGGAATCCGCAAATTGCCTATAAAATGGGCAGAAGTCGTGAATAATAATGGAAATTATTTCGAATGAATTGATGGTTTTATGTTGAATAAATTTTAGTTCAAAGTCCGGCAGCTTTCAATTCACCAACCCAATATGATAGTTTTATAAGCTGACCTTTAACCGAGCGATAACCCGTGGATAATGAGTGGAATTGACAGAAACATTGGTGGAAAGGGACAAGTAGCAGAAAAGGTCTTGGCAAGTCCCACTTGGAAATATCGTGGGTAGGAAGCTAATTGGCTGATTTGAGGTAAGCTGTAGTTGGTGTTCTTCACAAGTACAGCCTGAAACGTTTCAAGTTTTAATCATCCAATCAAACGCACGATCGTTGACTGCGGTGACTGTAAAGTTGTAGGCCATTGAGTCTTCATTGTGATTAAGACAAATTTGGAGTAAAGCTTGATTGGAATAGGTTTGAAAAGAAGTCAACAATGACGATCTAAAACTCAATTTTGATTTATGGAACAATTACTAACTCATTGCTTTCACTACATGAAGAAATTTTCTTAATGCGGTCAAGATGGGCAATATCGTTGAACAAATACTTCCAAGAGCCTAAAGTTACACAAAAATGTTTGACTAAGAAGTAGGGCTTTGCTTAAAGGGCTTTGCTCTTTAAGGAATGCATTTTCTAAAAGGCGTTTATCATAAGAAACTACTGTACTTAAAGCTAAAGCTACTTACAATCGTTTTCTAAAAATAGATCCTTTTTAGAAACAAATTACAGAGCACCTGTTGTGTTTAATTCAATCGATTTCCCATTTGGTGCCACCAACAAGAGTTGACACTCTGAAACGAAGATAACAAGACTATTTTCAATAGACTAAACCTTCAATACTTGAACTATATTTGAGTTCCGTGGAGATCATCTTTGACTCATCACTGGCGAAGATGACTACGTCTTTTGGGCAACTGTCCATTAGGTGATTTTCTTCTAAAGATTGGATTAGAAAGATTAGCCAAAAACACCATTTGGCTTTGGCTTTTTTTGGTAATATTCTTGGTAAACCGCTTCCATTTCATAATTTCAAAGCTTTACCTTGTTGCCGGATCATGAAATGAAATCTCAGAAACCCTTCCAAATGTGACAATTTGATTCGTAGAGCTCGTGCATACAGAAAGATCAACTCACTTGTTCCATCGTTGTCTTCCACAGATTGTTTGTTTATACTAAACATTTATAGCTTTGGTCTTGTTTGCTTTGAGCAAACGTGACTCACAAATATCCCCGAGCCAGCCAGCCAGCCAAAAGCCAGCCAAAAGCCAGGCTCTAGCCTGGATTTAGCTTGGCTTGAACCTAGTGATCTAGCTTGTCCTGAACCTAGTGATCTAGCTTGGCTTGAACCTAGTGATCTAGCTTGGCCTGAACCTAGGGATCTAGCTTGGCTTGACCCTAATGATCTAGCTATTAGATTTGAGATAATCTATTAATCTATTAGATTTGACATAATCTATTAGATAATCTATTAATCTATTAGATTTAAGATAATCAAAGCTTTACTAAGCCATTGGAATCTGATATTCTGTCTCATTGATCGAGACAAGTTCCTCAATTTTTATGTAATCGTGCTTAGAGCTCAGATCGACATCACGGACGTTGATTGTAAGGATGTGATTCGCTTTTGGATAGATCTAAATCATTTTTTGACATGGTAGGAAATCGGAAAACTGACCACCCAAGTACAATTGGCCTCAAGATCTTGATAACGTGGATGTTCAGGATTTTTCAAGATCAAAGAATCATGTTTGAGTGTCAGAAAGCTTTCATTGGTTTCATTGAAACAAGTGGCACCTTAGATTTTACTCAAGTTAAAAGTACGGTTTACTTACTGTAAATTGAATTAATATAAAAGAAGATTAATATAAAATACATCGATAAAAATCGATGAAATGATTTGTTTTGCTTTTCATTAAAGTATAAACAATCGTGATCACAACCAAAAAACTCTTTGGGAAGAGCGACAAAAAAGAACAGTGTTTTGAACAGTGTTGACTGTTGAAATAGTATAGATTTTGAGATTTTTGGTTAATCTGTCAGCTAATTTGATTGTTGTGAAGGCAGTTTTATTTAACCATACTCCAGAGTTTTTTTGCTGCCCCTGTTATAAACAGTTATAAACATATCGGTTATAAACAGGACATACTTTTAAGGCAAGCAAGCCTTACAAAGAGATAGCTGAAAGCTTGAAGCCTAATTCCTTGCGTTTGCAAGCTATTTTGGAAAAACAAGGGGAAACAATGCAAAAGCCGGGCTTTTTCAAAATAAAATTGGTCGGAGTCGAGAGTCGAGAACAATTGAGCTTATGCTCTTTCACCTCATGAGTTTTTGCTGCCCCTGCGGACCGAAATCCTTGGGATGAATCCAAAAATTCACAGCGGCTCCCTTCAGCACCCTTTTACAGGCACTTGGGATCCCATTTCGACCGGCGGAGAACCCACCATTTTGGCCAAAATGAGCCGGAACTGGGTTAGCCAATTCTACAGCCGAAGTTAGTTTGGGAAGCGGTGACCATATGGGGCAGACAACGGATTGGTTACCGGATGACCCAAAATGGACGCTTCCGATTGGACAGGTGAAAAAAAACGATATCTGCTGATGGAATATGCCAGATCGAGTGCGATTGTGCACGCGCACAGGAAACACACCGGGATCCTCTTTTTTGCATTTTAAACTTCAAAAGCTTCGAATTTTTGAATAAAGAAATTGCTTTTCGAAGGGAAAAAGAAAACAAAGGGTTTTCGGAGTTGGGGAATCGATTGTGTTATAAGAGAAACATTATAACTAAATGTGTTATAAGAGAAACATTATAACTAAATTTCAAAAATTTGATGGAATCGGGATTACGATGATTTAAGGAAGAAATGATTTCATTCTTGTCGGAGGAAAGCATGATCCATTCTCACCTCGTTATGAAGCAACGATCAAAGATGAGAATGATCTTGAGCACAAATCATGCTTTCCAATTTGATAGAAACAAAACACTTGCTAATTTTCTATCTACTCTGGAGTATGGTTAAATTTTCGCCCTCGAAATTTCTTCAATGTTTCGATCAATTGAAACACGTTTTAGCCTATTTTGTAGAGGAGATTTACAACTTTCGTTTACAACTTTCAAATAGTTTATAACATTCATCGATTCTAGTTTATAACATCAGGTTTCTATCGTTGGAAATTTATGAAAATGTTGAAATCCGCATTTCTTATGCATGTACCTAATACTATATATAAAATAGAAGAGATATCTGCCTGTCTGTGTGCAAACACGACGTTCCGTAATTGCGTTTGCTCTATCGGTTAAACGGTAAAGTTCTTTGCGCTCAATATTTTGCTCTCAGGGGTTTTCGGCTATGGGGAATCTGACTTTTAGACCTATTTTTAAAAAGGGAACCGAGCTTAACGTGGGTTACGGCAGTTTTAGTCATTTGAAAGAAAGTTTTGTATTAAAAGGTCTAAAAGTTTGTGCGCTTGTGCCGTTTTGTGCGCTCGACAAAAACAATTCTGTTCCCTGTTTCTTTTTGCGTTTCTTTGTAATGATACTGTTGTACACTTTGTAATGATACTGTTGTACTATTCCGTTATGCTACGGTTTGACAATTAATCATTGCTTTGAGCATTATAGATTTGAGTCCTTGAAGAAGTTTTTCTTCCTTTTTTTAGTCTTTTCACTTTCAGCAACACCAGAAACTTTTTTGTTTTGACTTTTCCTCATTTTTATGTCTTTTTTGGTCTCTGTCTCTGTCTTTCTCTGTCTTTTATTGAAAATGGCGACTTTCTTGAGTCTATTTCTTGTTATTTCAATCTCAATCTTACATGTTCAAGGGTAAACAGTTCTTACAAACAAAAATTTTTAATCTTATTTTAGAGAACAAACAGTAGCCATTAGGGGAGTTTTTCTTTGTGATGGGAATCCATTGGAAGGTGTTCGAGTCTCTATTTATCATGGTGGATGTAAGAAAACAAAAAACTGCCAGCTTTATATTAAATAAACATTCCACCTGAAGATTTTCTTAACCAAAAACTTCTTTTAGTAGATAAATGTTTAAATTTTTTTGCCGAAGCTTAAAGTTTCTCAAAATCTTTAATGAGAGAAGAGATAAGTGCGGTTAAAGAAGATTTATCGTTAAGCTTAAGCGTTAGGCTTAACGGTAATTGTCGAGAGGTCATACCTTTGCCTGAAACTTTAAACTTCAGCACAAACAGTAGCCGTTAGGGGAGTTTTCCTTTGTGATGGGAATCCATTGGAAGGTGTTCGAGTCTCTATTTATCATGGTGGATGTAAGAAAACAAAAAAAACTGCCAGCTTTATATTAAATAAACATTTTTAGATCTTGAATCTCGACCTGTACCAGGAAGTAAAGCCATTGCGTTTACAGATTCAAATGGGAGAGTTTCCGTTACAAGGTGAGATCATTGGTGATCAAGGTGAGAAAATTTGAGTATATTTTCTCTAAAAGATGTTTTTTAGTATGCTTTGATCCGTCGATAAAGTCCATTTTCTACTTTTAGAACCTATTCGCCGCCGAATATTCCATTTTTTGATGATTTCCAACCAGTTGTGGCCATCGATCACAAATGTAATGTGCAGGTATGATGAAATAAGTGCAAACAGTATCTTTTTTTCTGTCTATGATCGTTTCTGCTACTTAAACAAGTACTAATAACAATGTTATAGTTCTGTCGACTCCGTTTGAAAGTCCACGTTGGTAAAGAATGGGTCTCGGATGGGCCAACTACAGACAAGGTTTGTCTCGGGCACTGCAATAGCATTGAAGACTTAAAACTCTTATCTTGAAGACTCAAATTAACATACAATTTGCTTTAATCCCACAAATTCATCAAGTATTCACCTACCGTAAAAACTCTAACAGAAGCCTCGGGGCTTCTATTTTTAATCCTCTTCCAAGGGGAGCCTCTATTTTTCAATGTAAGAAATCGGACAAATTAGATTTCGAAGTGATAGATTGTGATAGATTTCTCGTAACAACCCTGTTCTCCAGCTCAATCGACGTCAAGTGTCCACCTCCTTTCAAACGTTTTGCTTGGCTTTCTTGCTGCACAAGTTTCCTTCTTGTCCGATCCATTGTCGAAGCATTGCACGATCAAACATTGGATAATCAATTTGGTACTTCTTTGCAGCCACATGCACAGAAAATTCTTGACTTATTTGACAGCTTTCAATTTAAGCTCCTTTGAATAGGCCTTGTGCTTTCGAGAAGGTGATTCTTCGTTGTTTTCTTCACTTGAACAATCGTTCTCCGAACATTGAGCGGTCGTTTCCCTCATCCACCTCGCTTTCTGGCCAGACCTGGTTGTAAAGGCCTCACATGGGCTCACGTTCCTCCTCGAAAAATCCTTGCATCTCGTTCTTGCGGCGATCTCGAAACTCTTCAAGTTCATTCAGCTCTTCTAATCCAACTCTTCCAATCCAACTCTTCCAATCCAACTCTTCCAATACAACTCTTCCAATCCAACTCTTCCAATCCAACTCTTCTAATCCAACTCTTCCAATCCAACTCTTCCAATACAACTCTTCCAATCCAATTCTTCCAATCCAACTCTTCTAATACAACTCTTCTAATCCAACTCTTCTAATCCAACTTCAAATCTCCCTAAAAATAAAAATTAAACCTTGAATAGAGAAAAACAAGCAAGAAAAAGTGCATTAGAGAAAAGAAAATGTTAAAATTAATAAGTCTAAATACCTACCGTAAATACTGTAATAGTAGCCCACCCCCTCGTACAGTCGCGTAGTCACAAAGGTTTTTTAGTATTTCATTTTTTTCAAAGCGCCCGTACTTTTAAAAAATGTGTCTTTGGTATCAAAAAATATCCCTGAATTTCAGCTATTTTTTGATACCTAAGCGCGCATTTTAGCATAAACCAGTGTCGAGAAAAACTCGTTCAAAGCTAGACTACGCAACACTCCGCACCGTCATTATGGGGGTGGGGTACTATTACAGTATTTACGGTAATTTTGGTTAAGGTAATTTTTGGGTTACGGTATAAAAAGCTCAAAAGAAAAAAGAAAAAAGATCCGAGAATCTATTTGCGATCTATTGGGTTGGTGGAAAAGTCCTTTCCGATTTTTTGGGAGAGTACCTTAAATTTGTCCAATTTTGACGTTTTGTAGCTCATCCTAAAGCTGAATTCAAGACGGATCGATTGGTAAAAACCGTTTTGAGATATCTCTTTTCTAAGAGTTTTTACAGCTATTTTAGTAAAGGGAGGCAAATTTAAGGTACTCTCCCAAAAAATCCGAAAGGACTTTTCCACCAACCCAATATTTGAGCCATCAAATTAAAATAAAAGATCTATTTGAGTTTTTACAGTATTTTAGGTGTTTGTCATTGAGCCAATGGAACTTTACGTTCGTCGTAGGAATGAAGAACGCATTTGCACTCGGCGACTCTTCAATGAAAATGCTGAGAACTCAATGATTTTCCCATTTAATGCATCACAATTATCCAACTTTTCCATGAAAAGCAAATAAACTATCGTTTTGCAGAATAACTTCAAGCTGGCTTTAATTTAAACTACCATAGTTTAACTAGTATTGTTGGATGAACGCTGACAAACTTTAGAACCTAAAAAAAATCAATCAGTGAACTGTTTTCCCGAGAAAAGAGCGATTTCTCTGATTTTTGAGGTGGTCTTATTGAGTTTTTGCCTTATCATTTTCAGACTTTCTTCTCCATTTTTCTTTAGAGAATCTTATCAGTATTGCTCTCGAGATGCTTCTGATGAACGATCCCCTCAATCTAGAAAGGGTTTCAGACCAAAAAAACTTCCCAAACTTTGTTCGTTGTCTTAATTTTTAACTTTTAAGGACCATCTAGAGATATCTTTTCTTCTATACAGCTTGCTTATACTTGGAAATGTACTGCTTACACTTCTTTACTGGAAATGTACTGCTTACACTTCTATACTAGGAAATGTACTGCTTGCACTTCTATCCTAGGAAATGTACTACTTACACTTCTATAGGAAATGTCCTGCTTACACTTGTATACTTGGAAATGTACTGCTTACACTTTATACTAGGAAATGTACTGCTTACACTTTATACTAGGAAATGTACTGCTTACACTTCTATCCTAGGAAATGTACTGCTTACACTTCTTTCCTAGGAAATGTACTGCTTACTTTTCTATACTTGGAAATGTACTGCTTACACTTCTATAGAGAATGTACTGCTTACACTTCTATACGAAATGTACTGCTTACACTTCTATACTAGGAAATGTATTTCGTACACTTCTTTCCTAGGAAATGTACTTTTAATCCTCTTAACATCCAAAGCAATTGGAGCTTGGCTCTAATTTTTCATTTTATGAAACTTTCAAGACTAAACAATGCTTTAAAGTGTTCTAAAGTAATCGTTTGCAAATTTTAAAGGTCATTAGATCTTACAGCTTTCTTGTGCTGGCTTGTTTAGCAATTTGATTAATAAAAATAGCTTTCCAACGGTCAAATTGAAATTTTACTTTAACCCTAAACCTTAAAACAGTTCAACAAAACATCAGCAACACTTTTTTGATCAAATATTTACTCTCTCTTTGCCAGGAATCAAATAGAGTTCACTTTTACCAATAGATATTGCCTAGAAAATCGATTTCCTGCAAACTCTTGTAGTAATTTTTTAAATTGCCCATTCCATTTTTCATTTGGAATTTTGTTTTCCTGTTATTCTCTTCAAATAGCCAAATAGCTATTTGTTTTTTTTTAAAAATGATTCACAGAAAACGACATTCTTTCGATATTTTTGTCACCAATTTGTATAAATTTCTTGTTTATTTGATTTTAAAAGATTTTACTTTCTATTTTATTCAAGTTATTCTATTAATTTGCTTTATTGCTTTGTTGACTCTTCACTCCGAACACTCCACTACAAAAAACAATTTTTGCGTGACCCCTTTTGACCATCGCTTTTAGCTATTCTCGTACATAAACAACCACTTAGTCAATCTTTAGTCATATTTTTGTTTTTATTTCCTTTCCTTGTCTAATTTAATATTGATTTGATTTGATTTTCTTAACTTTTTTTGATTTTGACTTTTACAGAACAAAAAAACGGCTTGGAAGGATGAGACACTTGCTGTGTTTGTTAGGTTTGTTTAGCAAATTAGCAAAGCTGCAAGTAAATTGGAATTTAGACATCCACAGTCTATTAGATTATGAACAGAATTTTATATTCTAGGCTTGCTTGCCGTTACGTCTGCTCTTCAACAGTTTTCTGTGAAAGACGGTGGAAAAACGTGTTTTTTGTTGGAGGCCGATGTTGAAGGAGAGGTTGGGCAATCAGAAAATGTACAATATGTACAAAATGTAATTAATAGCATGAGTAGTGAAAAAACCTAGCAAGCCTCTTGATCTAAAGAATCGGCATACAAACTAGATACGTCTTGGAACCGTATTGGATCAGAATAGGAACCATATTAGAACCGTATTAGAACCGTATTGGAACCATATTGGAACTGTATTGAATCAGAATAGGAACCGTATTGGAGTTTATAGAGCTTTACACTAGGTACATCAAAGTTTTTAAATGCATTTTATAAGTAAACTTACTTAAAACTTGAGCTAGTTTAAGCTAAAGTTAAAGCTAACGTAAAACTTGAGCTAATTTAAGTGAAAGTCAATATGAACATCAAGATCTCAGATTAAATGGAAAGATGGAAACGAAACAAAGTCATTCTCGTGGAAGCTCGACAAAGTGACACAGCAAAGCGGAGAGTGTAACGGGAAACGTGAGGGGCTCAAATCGAACCGTTTGGAGGTAAATTTTAAGAGTAAAACAAAGCCAACAAAGCTCAATAACGTACATTGACCATTATCCACTTCGTATTTTCCCTTCAGGCTCAATTCTTGCCTAAGGACACCTCATCGGGACAATACGGACAACTCTGGATCTTCACTTTGGAGCTAGTGTGAGTCGATTCACAAGAATATAGTCAATATTGAGTTAATTGCATAGTAATTTTGAAATATTATAAAATTTCCTCTTTTTAGTCAACAAACCGGTGATAACAAAACCTACGAGTTGGTCGATTGGAGTTTGTCCTTTACGCCACGAGTCGGAATCAATATTACTGGTGGGAGCTAAGAAAAGCTTATAAAAATAGATGTAAATTGATCTAGAAATGAAATTTTAGATAATAATCCAGATAAGTAAATCTAGATAAGATCAAATCGATTTAGACACCTACCGAAAGACCAAAGATGCCGTCACGGACCTTTCCGCTTTTGGATCCAACGCTTACAAGGTTTAATTTTGATCAATAATTCTAGATATTTTAACAATTCCAATGTAACTCTTTAAATCATTGCAATTCAGTGCTCAAATGTTGGCCTGGCTTTGGATGCGGCTGATGGATCGGGTGTGGGATCGGTGTTGACACTGAAGTCTGTTCGAGCTGTCGCTTTTGCCAGCATCGATGGAGACAAGTTCCCAGAGAAACAAGGTAAGGATTTCATAATGACTTTAGCTTTTTCTAAATAAAATATTAATCTACAGTAATCTACAGTAATCTGATCACCTTTTAGTCTACGAAGTGTGCAGTCTTGACTCCAAGACTTCGGACATTGTCCCAATCATCGTTGGAGCTTGTTTGGCTGGATTGGTGGTTGTTGTGCTTGTTGCTTATTTGGTGGGACGTGCTCGTGCAAAGAGACAAGGATATGCTTCCCGTTTAAGTTGAAAAGGTTAGTGATTAGCTTTACAAGCAGCTAGACTTAACTAGACTTCTGCCTTGGCTTCGCGAAAGTAGCTCAGGTTCAATAACTCTGCTACTGTAGACCACAGTAAATTTGGACTACAGTAACCCTTGGCTATTATAGACTACAGCAACCCTTAACTACTGTAGAATACAGTAAACTCAGACTACAGTAACCCTTGGCTATTATGGACTACAGTGATCCTTGGCTATTGTAGATTACAGTAAACTTGGACTACAGTAACCCTTGACTATTATAGACTACAACAACCCTTAGCTATTGTAGATTACAGTAAACTTGGACCACAGTAACCCTTGGCTAGACTACAGTAAACCTGGCCCACTGTGATTACAGTAACCTTGGGCTACTGTAGACTACAGTAACTCAAACCACTGTGGCTGTATCATACAAATGAACTGAGATTATTGTATTGATTACTAATGCAAGTGCTAATGAGCCTAAAGCAATATGGAATAAAATAAATCGTAAGCTTTTCATTTAGGATCAATGATCAAAAACAAATGATTACAATCTCTCAACTCAATCGATCAACTCTCGGGACCGAACGAATTTCCTCTTTTTTCTCTTTATTCTATTTCGGATTATCTTCACAAATATATATTTTTCTTAAAATTTCAATCTAACTGATATCTCTGAAATTCAATCTTTAGCTCAATGTGATTGTGAAACGTGTATTGTTTGTGTTTAGTGCCCAAAAACTCAGTTTTCAAAATGATTTTGTGATTCTCAGTTTGTCATCAATGTCATTTTGATTCACAATAAATTTATTGAGAAAATTGTTCCTGAAAAACAAATCTGCAAAGCAAAAGATTTCAAGATATCGTTTTACGGGATCAAAATAAGATTGAAGCAAAAAAATGTTGTTTATACGGTTTATTTATGTTTATAATGATGAGTTTCCTAAAAAGTAGGTAATTTGGAAAGTTACCATAATCTTTTAGTTAGATTTTGTTCGTTCTACTCCATTTTGATCTCATTCGATGAGAAATCAATTTGTGAATAGAATGACATCTAATTAAGTGAACGGGCAAGATCAGAAGGAAAGCTTATGGCAGCTTGCACTAAATTATCCACCGTATTAGTCAAATTGTACAGTAATTTGATTACAAATGAAAAGAAAAGCCTTCTATTTCTAAAGCTTAGCGCTTATACGATCCAACAGGGTGATTGCAATGCGGACAATAGTGATTCACGTCTTGCCATTGTACAATACAAAAAGCACACGGCGAGCAGAGAGTCAAACTAAATTCTAGGTTTAAATTCTAGGTTTAAAAGTGTAAATCCAAAGCTCTAACACTTTGTCTTTTTGGTTTTAGTGATTTTCTAGAGATCTAGAGATCTAGAGATTGATTAACAGCTCAAAGGAACTCACGCGGCCGTCCAGAAACAAAGACAAAACGCAATCCAAGTGCAGTTGCCAATCTCATGCGAGATTTTCGTTTCTCCAGTCTAAAGCCGATTGTTCAAGCTAAATTTGAAACTTTATATCTTTTTGCATTTCGGACAGCGAATCATTTGTGGTTTTTCACCGAATATCGCTGGGAGAGATGGTTCTGGTTGGGTGCGGATCACGGGCTGAATTGATAGAATTGGCTTAATGAAGGTTTAATACAGGGTTAAGCAAGATTACCCGAACGAGAGTTCTTCGCTGTAACTTTGCCAGCCAACTTAAAGGTATAGTTTTCTCCATAGTATAAATTTCATTCCCTTTGGGACATTACTGATCCGTTGACCGGTTCTTCTTTCGAACCACAAAGCATCGGTAAAATTGATCCTGTTGCAGAACTTCATTTTCCTCTTTTCAGCGCTTTTTTGGTTTCTAAAGAACTCGAAAAAAACAAAATTAAGACTAGAAAAGTGTGACTACTTTTTTCGACGATAATTTCTATAAAAAGAATTATAGGAGTTTATATGGAACGGCTGACAAATCACATTCAAACTCTTTTCTTGTCCAGATGATTTTGCCCAATCCTATAGAGTACAGAATTTAATTGAAAGTTAAGAAATCATAAGTCAAGCGTCAGAAAATATCTCCTACTCCTTTTGGCACTGGACGAAGTTGAGGCTGGGAGTTTGGTGGAAAAGAGCCAGTGTTCATCGGATGAGTCTAGATATGAAAAGTTAGCTGTTGATCTAGGATAAATACCTCAAAGAGCGTACGGTTCTAGTACAGGTTATAGATCTATTAAGTTCTGGGACTTTGTAAAACTCACTTGTTGAGCCATTGCCGGATAGTGATGGCCGGCTGGTAGTGAATGTACCGGCTGTGATGCTGAGATCTGGTAACCGCCGTGCATTGATTGCATTGGTTGCATAGGTGCTGGATAAGTGACCGAGACTTGACAACAGGGCATCGGCATCTGTTGTTGCACTGAGGCCATCTGTTGCATTGGTTGAGCCATTCGATAACTGACTAGCTGTTGTACTGGGTGAGCTGGTGGTGGATGTGTTTGAGCCATGTATTGAACGGGCTGTTGCATTGGTTGAACTGATGGTGGAGATTGGATGGGTGCCACGTACTGAACACTTTGTGGAACTGATTGTGATGGTGCGTAAGATACAGGAGGTGCAGATGGAGCTTCAGGATGTTGTTCCTGAAAATTCTTCAGTACAAAGCGACTCACTAGAACCCGCTACATGAAAAGAACCATATTCGAATCAATCAAAATTATCGGTTTAGAATCTCCAGATCAAAGGCTGACCGATTGTCCTTGTTGCCTGGATTGAATCGGTTGAACTGGTTGTTGGGGAACAGTTGGTGGAGCCGTTGGAACCGGTTGTGGTGGTAAATAAGAATTTGAAGCAGCAATTGTGGCTACTGGAGCTACAGGAGGCTGTTTCTAAAAGTCAACAATTGCAGAAAATCTTCGATGCTAACATAGATCTTTTCTGGATAGATACAGACTAACCAATTCAGGAGAAGCAGAATGAGTGGGAGTTGCAGCTTGAGTGTTATCCTAAGGATATTGTTATAAATGAATCTTTGTGAAGGTTGTTACAGCCAGTCTAGGCTGTAACAGCTGTAACAGCTAGGGCAATTCAGGTCAGGTTAGGTCCAGAGTCAGGACTGAATCGGAACCAGTGTTCTGTAGTACCTGACACCAAGGTCAGGTACTACACCAAGCCAAGCCAGAAGCAGGTCCAGGTCCAGAAGCTTGCAACAAAGCCAGTCCAAACAAGATAAAGGCTTGGTCTAGCCTGTTCTGGCCTTTAGAATCCTGATCTTTATCTAAAATCAACCAACCTGTCCGTCCATAATCGTCCAACTCGACGATGAAAAGAAAAATGAAACGAAGATGAAATTAGAAGAAAATTTGATGGAGACATTTCCCTAAATAGTCTAAACAATGCTGATTCAAGTCACTTTTCAGTCATCACTCGGAATTTTTTCTTTCTTAGCGTTTTGTGATTTTGAAAAACATTGTTTATGTGCAATTTTTAAATGTATGAAGTAAATTCCGAGATCAGAATCAAAGTGTAATTTAAACCGCAAAGGGGAAGCAACCTATACCAGGGCTGTCAGAACAGAGCCAAGTCAGGACCTGGATTCTGAACTGGGCTAGCCCATAAAGGCTTTTGGATCTCAGAAGTTAGACCTGGACCTGGCCTGGCTTGGCTTACAAGCTAGAACCCTAGAACCAACCCAGCCAAGTTCTCTTGCTATTAAAGCTCTAACTGAGAAAACAATTCATCAACTACGCTTTTAGTGTTCTATAAAGTTTCTTTCGACTTTTCTTTACAATCACCTAAATAATATTTTTTCAGAGATAGATCTCGACGGAAAATTTTTAGACGAGTTTGAAGAATTTCGAGTTCGAGGATGATGAACGAGATGAATTCTTCAGTTGGGCGCCCCACAGGACGCCAACAAGAATTCGATTCACGTTGATGCCGAAAAATCTTCGAGCGAGGCCGATAAACCACTTGTGAAGAACCACTTCAAAACCAAGCTTCGATCACGAATGTTTGAATGTTGGATGAATCAAAGTCAAGTTACGAGGATTGAATGTTGGATGAACTGAAGTCACTGACACGGAATGGCAATCCTTTAGTTGTTATTTATTTTTCCTTTATCACAAACTTTACATTGTTATTATAATAAACAAAATAGTTATAGCTTTAAGTTTTGATTACACAAATCGAGACTTTACAACATTGATCACCGCCTCGAGCTGTACGGAAATTAATCTCTACACTTGTCAGACACAGCCTTGTTCTACAAGGCTGCGTCTGACAAGTGTAGCGATTAATTTCCGTACAGTGTAGAGATTAATTTGCTACTTGTAAATTTTGTTTTTTTTTTTTAAATTTTTATAAAATTGATGCAATAAAGTAATATTATAGTCATTTAGTTAGCAACTTTCTTGGAAAATTTCATTAGAGTCGATTTTAGGAGTTCTTTATCTCGTCTACTTGAGCCAATCATGGAAACATCCTCGCCTGACTCCAGTTTTTTCTAGAATTTGAAAATTATTCTGAAATCTGGTTTTGAATGGGATTGGGTTTGAATGGGATTGGGTTTGAATGGGTGTTCTTAAAATCAATCTGAAGCACTCACATTCATTTCCTTGAGATATGGATGCTCAAGACATTCACTTGCTGTCAGTCTCATTTGCCGGTTCACTTCGAAAATCTTTTTTAACAAATCCATGAGATTTTCCTCTAAAAATTTTCATTTTAACTGCAAGTTTTGACTCACGTGAGAAAAATTGTTGATAACTGGGAAGCCTTTGAAAAGAGACGCTGATTTCTTGCTCAAGAGCGGGTTTTCTTGGACGATAACACCTCAAACGGTCGCCAAAGCTGAGAATGTAAAAAGTGTATTTCAAAATTGACAAGTAGAAATTAGTATTGACATAAGTAGAAATTAGTACAGATAAAACCAAACCTAGAAATCTAGAAATCAGAAAATCTAGAAATCAAACCCACAACGAGGAATAGTAATCATCAGGCAAACCGAGAACGTCCAGAATTCGTTCTTTCACTGAAGCAGCTTTCTGTAAACTATTTACGATAGAGAGCTTATTTTGCTTTGCACTTTGTACTTAATCAGATTAAAATTGCTGTCAGAATTGAATAGTTTTAGCACATGGATGGCTGAGATTTGGACCAAGAGTCTTATACTAGGATTTCCAGCGATGACCTGTCATTGCTGGAAAACCTAGTATAAGACTCTTGATGAGAATACTTATCAATTTCAATCGTTTTAACGTACCCCATCCAATGGCATCATCAACCTGCACCCGAGCATCTCCAACGCAACCAGTCCCGCCGACCAAACATCAACTAAATTGTTGCAAACTCTTGAAACTGTATATCACAAACCCCCGCAATCATATCGATCCATTAGAGCCACTTCTAATGGTTGATAGATCATTGGCAAAGTGGGCAAAATAGAGTGAATTCCTTTGCTGTTTGTCGGGCTAAAGGCAAATTTAGCTGTACGGTTTGAACTCCTCACCCGCATACACCGAAATCCAGCAGCTTGATCTGGAACTTCTCCTTGTTCAGGCCAATGTTCTTTGGATTTAAATCCTAGAATTTCTTGAGTTGAAGAACTACATCAAACTACCCGATGCATCACTCCTCGTTGATGCAAAAAGGCGAGGGCTCGAAAAATTTGCACTAACATTGCCGCGAGTTGTCGATGATCTCTCAGTGTTGGGTTTGACGAATTGTCGTTTTTC